TGCTCTGACCAGGAATCAAACTGTGACCTCCTGGTTCATAGGTCAACACTCAACCACTGAGCCAGGCCTGCCAGGCCTAAAGCTTTTTTTAAAAAAAATTTTAAGTACATCATTTATTCCAGTGTTTTGCCTACAGAAAATCCTTTATAACTTTTGTAAGGGGCAGTCATGTGCACTGGGAGATTAATAGTACATAAATTTTAAATGTCCCCCGAGCCCAGCTGGACTCCTGGGAAATCCCAGGCCCTCTGAAGTACCTGCGGCTGTTTTGCTGACCTGTCACCACCTGCTCTGATCCTGCCCCTCCCCTGCCCTGCCCAGCGCACCCCCCACACCACGCACCTCCCTCTGCGCCCGTCTGAGACATGCAAGCTGCCAGGTATGAATCAGATCCCTGGTTCAGAAAAAAAGTTACAGTGATTTTGGGGGGCAGGGGGCATTGAGAAGCTGCCAGGATGAGTAAGCCCATAACTGAAATTTTGGTGGTGCAGGCTCAAGGCACAAAATCACTCATCTGCCCAGGAGCGTGGTCCCAGAGCCACCCTGCTGTGCGCAACAGTGATGGACCCGAAGCAGCTGAGACTCGGCACTGCCCCCAGCGTGCTCTGGGAGCTGGTTCTTAGCTGAGTGTGAGCAACTCTTCATTCATTAACCAGTACTTTTTGTTTTTCAAAAAAGTGGAATTCTATACCCGCCAGGGCCCTCTGGGTGCTGGTTGCAACGTGGACACTGGCTGCTCTGGCGGCCCAGCTGAGCCCACAGTGAAATTTCAGAGAGCCGCTGGCAGGAAAGATCTCTGAGATTTGGACAAAGGGCTTGCACTCGGCAGACTCGGGTATTTGCTACCCCCATGCACCCAAGGGAAGCTGACACCTGCAGTCCTCTAATTCATTCTTCCTTGAGCATTGCTTGAGCACCCACTGTGTGCTCAGGGAGGGGCATGCCACCGTGTGTAAACCACAGCCCCCACCTTTGATCGTGGGTGCTGTCGCTGCTCAGGGCACATGCCACGGGGGCCAAGCCTGAGGCCGGCTCCATAGATGGCCAGCAGGGTCTTGACATGGCAGCCCCGGTGCCCGGCAGCCCAGGTGCCAGCCTGCTCAGGTTCCTGCCAGCTCAGCAGGGCAGAAGGAAGGGGAAGGAGACCATTGTAGGGAAAAGTCCTTAAACAACGCTTGTTGTGCAATAACACCAAGAGCCGGACTGAGCTGATTTTGAAAGTTTTGGTTTTCATATTACTAACTCTAAGAGGATTTATTTTTATCTCCCATTAGGCCAATTAAAAAAAAATAGCAACAGGAAATTTGCATCCTGTTTATATTGTGGTGTAAGTATACGATGTATTTATATGTAATATGTGTTATATGCATTACAATGTATGTTGTTATTTAGAGAAGTGATGGAGTAACTCCGGTCTCGATATGGACCCGTTTACAGGATGAATAGTTATTTCTAAGAGTGATCTCAAATCCCTGGCTGGGGGCAGAGGAGGGCAGAAGATATATATTTCAATACTTTACAAAAATAAGTATTTGCCAGCTACTCTTTTAGGAGGGGCCAGAGGTGATGATAAATGAAACAAATAATAGTATTTGGTGACAACACTTATACTAATGAGAACTGCCATTCTAGAAAGTGAGAAAACCCTAAATCCAGCTAAAATCCCAAACAAAAGAATTTTCCAGCCTCTGAGCTCGTTTCTGAACCTGCTGACGTGTGGAAGGCGCAGAGTTGGAGGGGCCCGGGCTTGAACCCCACGCCGCCCTGTAGCCGGTTGGAGGCCTCAGCAGATCACTCCGCCTGTCTGTGCATCAGCTCCTCCCCTGCACTCACCTGCAGCACAGGTGAGAGTCCCTGAGGAGTGTGAGGTCGTCACGCAGACTCAGTAAGGTGACGTGAAAAAGCTCTTGGCGCCAAGCCGGTGTACGAAACATGGCAATGCCCCCCCACCGCACTCCCTTGCCAGAGCTTTCGGAAACTGGTTTTGTTTGTTTGTTTGGAAGGGGTGGGGTGTTGTTTTAAGAGACTGACTCTTGCAGCCTAACTGTGTTTAGGAGGCAAGGGTTAGCAGATTATAGTTAGACTAATAATTGCGGTTTAATTCACCACGTTTTCGTGCTGAATTCTCGCATCACGGAGTCGTGTCTCTGCTCGCCGTGACTGTGGCCTGGCGCTGGGAGCTCGTCAGAGCCCTGACGTCCCCAGGGGTGATTAGTAACAGTGATCCCATCCGACGAGGTCATTTTCTGAGGAGGAGCCATGTTCTGCCTTTCTTTCCCGTGTATATGACTTTAAAACGCAAAGCCAGATTTTACAAAAGCAAAATATTAGGCCAGGGACAGTGAGATGTTTACTCCTATATTAGGTATTTACTCAGCCCGTGCACCTTGCCCGGCTCGGCTCCAGGCTCCCGGGACCCAACAGGCAGGCATCCTGCTGCACGGGGCTCACACTCCAGTGACTTCAAACTGTCCTGATGCGCTGGGTCCTGGTGGCACTTTATAGCGAGGCCACTGATGGAAGCCAGCGGAGCTCAGCACAAGGACGAGAAAATCCGTGCGAGTAAAAAGAATCTGAGTCTCCTGAGTTCAGATTTCCAGGTCCAGCGGCCAACTGAATAATGACAGGACCCCTAAGATGCACTGAGCTCTTCGGGGTCACGGCAAACGGCCCGCTGTGGGATCGAGCACACAGAGCTCCCTTGCGTTTAGACCAGCTTTCTTGGCCACGTGGAATCGACTTTGTGGAAAGGCCTCCCGGGTACCTCTGGAGGCTCCGTGTTCAATGGCAGAAACCTGAAACTGGAAAGCAGACCCTCCCTTGATGCAGAACATGGAACTGGTCGCGGGGATTTCAGGTCAACTCCCAGCCTCCCCCAGACTTCTCAGCCTAGATTCAGTTCCCTGCTCGCTCACGGACGGGGTACTTCTCCGAGCTCAGCTTCCTCTTCTGCAAACCGAGAAGCGGAGCGGCACCTGCCAGAGTTGCCTAACTGCTGAGCTCGCGCCCAGCTTGCATCAGGCCCATGCTGGCTGACCAGGTGGCCCTGCCCCCCCCACCCCCC